AATCAAAATTACAATAAAATGTCACTTGTTAGAACTGCTATTATTAAAAAAGTACTGATGGCAAGGATGTGGAGAAAAAAGAAGTATAATACACTGTTGATGGGAATGTAAATTAGTGTAACAATTATAGAGAACAGTTGGAGGTTCCTTAAGAAATTAAAAATATACCACTATATGATCCAGCTATTCCACTTCTGGATATATATCCAAAGGAAGTAAGATTACTATACCAAATAAGTGTATACCTATGTTTTTTGCTGTACTATTCACAATAATTATGAAATCAGCCTAGGTGCCCACCAACAGATGAATAAAGAAAACAAGATATATGTATGTGTGTGTGTGTGTGTGTGTATGTATATATAGAATGTGTATATATAGTTTTATCTGTGGATTATTTAAGGTGTTAATTTTATTTATTTTTAAATATTTATTTTTTAGTTGTAACTGGATACAAATCTTTATTTTTATGTGGTGCTGAGGATCAAATCCAGGGCCTCTCACATGCTAGGCGAGCCACTCTACTGCTGAGCCACAATCCCAGCCCTAAGGTGTTAATTTTATATTACATGTGAAATCTAGTTGTGCCTATGGAAATTAATATATATATTATATATATATATACATTATATATAATATCTATGGGTTTTTGTTAATTTATGTATTTCTATCCTTAAATGTGTGTGTGTGTGTGTATATATATATTTATGTCACCCTGTGTGTGTATACATATACACACATACAATGGAATATTATTCAGAAATATCATTTGCAGCAAAATGGATGGGACCAGAGGTCATTATTAAATGAAATAAACCAGACCCAGAAGGACAAATGCATGTTCTCTCTCATATGTGGAAGAGAGAGGGAGAAGAGAAGTTGACCTGAATGGAGATTACTAGAGATTACTAGAGACTATGAAGGGGAGAAGGAAATCAATGAAGGCTGAACGATGTATGCATGTTTTGAAATATCACACTGAGCTCCATTAATATGTACAATTAATAGGTGGGTCTAGCACACATGCTTGTAACTGCAGCTACTTGGGAGGCTGAGGCAGGAGGATTCCCAGTTCCAGACCAGTCTAGGCAACTTAGTGAGATCCTGTCTCAAAATAAAATGCAAAGGACCAGGGAAGCATCCCAGTGGTAGAACAGGAAAAAAGAAAAAAGAAAAAAAAAAAACTTTAAAGGAGTCTTGTGAAGCTGGTTGGCTCATTTTATTCTTCACTGAAACCAATACTGGACAGTAGATAAAGACCTTCTCCATTTGCTGAGTTACAGTAAACTTTCTCATGTTGTAATTGGGATGAAGTATGCAATTTATAGCAACAGCTAGATTGAAGGGTGGGGAGAGAGAAAATCCTAGAGAAAGTAGTACACCATTTTCATTGAGTACAAATATTATACATCAGTTAATAATTTTATCATCAATGCCAATAAAAAAAACTTGAATAATTTCTTTCGCATTCTTACAAGCAACTTGGTAGATGTGCTTAGGAATCTATAATTGATCATTTAGAAAACTCTAAATGGAGGTCAAATACTTCTTATTTGGAAATTTTTTGGCATTTAAGTATCTAATAAGTGGTTATTAAATACCTGACTCTCTATTTTTTGGTGAGAATGAAACAAGACTAAAAGTGCCTACATTGAGTCTGAAATCTAACTGGACAAACAAAACCAGCAGCAAACAATATGGTACAAAATTAAATGCTAAATCTGAGATAATCTTTTGAGTTCTTTTATTGTGTGCCAGGAACCAAGTGCTTTCTGTGTATTAGTCATCTAATCTGCACCACAATCTATTAAGGAAGATTGGTTCTATTAGTATTCCCATCTCACATCTAAGAACACTGAGGGTCAGAATATGATGTAAACATATGCAAGCCCATAAAACTAGCAAGTTGTAGAGGCCAGGGTGAGGTCAGCCCCCAAGTCACTCCTCAGGCATGATTCCCATACAAGCACTGCAGAAGTTGAAAGAGGAATCTGATTGACTAAAAATGTGTGTTATATAAATGAAAGGAAATCCACATGCACGGAGGTGATCAAAAGCCTAGGTGATCGAAAAGCCTAGAGGTAAAGGCAAATGAAGATGGCTCAGATAGCCCTGAATCCCTGGGCTCAAGGGATTCTCTGGCCTCAGCCTCCTGAGTAGCTGGGACTACAGATGAATGTGCCCTGCCTGGCTGACACAGGGTCTTGTATGTCAGGTAGAACTTGGATTGTATTATGGACAGGAGCACCACGAGGAGTTAAGCACTAGCTTGCCTTAGTCGGGTATGGTGGTGCATGCCTATAATCTCAGCAACTCAGGAGGCTGAAGCAGGAGGATCACGAGTTCAAAGCCAGCCTCAGTAATTTAGCAAGGCTCTAAGCAACTTAGTGAGACCCTGTCTCTAAATAAAATACAAAAAGGGCTGGGGATGTGCCTCCATGGTTGAGTGTCCCAGGGTTCCATTCCTGGCACCAAAAAAGAATGAACTAGCTTGTCTTTAAGGAAGTGGCAGTGTCCTATAGGGTGTGCTAATGGGGTAGGAGGTGAAGTTGGTGCTGAGAGTTCATTGAGAGCAAAAGACCATGTCTTCTTCAGTTTTGTTTTCTCATGGCCCAATACAGAACTGACACATGACTGTTGCTAAACACTTGCTGAATCAAAGTTGTGAAGTGTTTCTTTGAAGTTACCTGGAATTCTGCTCTTCATTCCCAATCAGGTTAGGTAAAGAATTGTTGCAGTGATCTAGCATGAGACAGAGAGGACAGCAATGGCAATACAAAGGAAGAGGAATGGACAGCTCAAACAATTAACAAGGCAACACATCATTAAGTAGCCAAGTGCACTACACAGACTGTTATTATTCATATGCACTTAAGAATGCCGCTCCAACTATACACATGTTCATTAACCAAGCCAACATGGACAGTTCATTTTACATAAGAGCTATGTGGTTTCCCGATCTTGGTCAGAGGACATTCCTACAAAGAACTGTACCTGTGAAGAAAATTCTAAAATAACTAGGCCACTTCTGCAGGGTGTCTTTCCAATGAGGATGGTGGTGGTGGGATTCCTAGAGAGGAGTAGGGACTACTATCCTGGCTAATTGTTTTCGTAAACTTGCATTTCAAGAACTCAAGTCTGGGGCTGGGGATGTGGCTCAAGCGGTAGTGCGCTTGCCTGGCATGCGTGCGGCCCAGGTTTGATCCTCAGCACCACATACAAACAAAGATGTTGTGTCCACCAAAAAAAAACTAAAAAAAAAAAAAAGAAATATTAAAAAAAAAACTCAAGTCTGGGCTCAGTGGTAAAACACTTGCCTGATACTTGTGAGGCTTTTGGTTTGATTCCAACTCTAATCCCTCCCCCCCCCCCCCCCCACAAAAAATGAGACTTGAGTCTGGTAAATATTTTAGAGAGTTATCTCTCAGGAAGGAGCACACAGCAAACTTGATCTTGGTGCCTATGTCAGAGCTGAAACAACTAATTCATTTCAATGGGAACTCCTTCCAGAATGGCAGAGCCAGGACAACAGATATGTGGGTAGCCAGGCTCATGAATATTTAAATCCTGGAATTTACCAAACTAAAACTATACTCTGGTTTTGAGATTTTCATATGGCAGCTGTTTTAATTCTGCTTCCCTCAAAAGCACCAAGGAATCAATCACTGCTGCTCCATATCCATGAGTGGACGAGGTTAGGCCAAAAGGAGGTCAAGAGGCTATAAGGCCACACTTGTTCTGATAAGTGAACAAGTGAGCACTGGAGCCCTACAAGGACTGAGAGTTTACATCCTCCATCACAGTCTGTGGATGAATATGGCTAGGCTGAAAGTTGATTTCTGATTAGCAATAAATCCAGGCTGATTTAAAGATACCACAGTAATCTATAAAAATTTCTTACCCATTGTGCCTCACATGGATTATATATGTGCTGATACTAATCTCTTTAGAGATGGGGTGGGCCTGGCCAGTAACTTCAGGCTGAAGAAGCCTCAACAGGTTACCCCAGCATGCCTCAGTTTATCCTAGAGTGTCGTGCAAATATTTTTTATTTTATTTTTTTGGTATATGTGTCACGAGGTGAAAAGGTTGGGAAACACTCATCTGTAGCATTATCTTTTTTTAATATTTATTTTTTAGTTGGACACAATATCTTTATTTATTTTTATGTGGTGCTGAGGATCGAACCCAGGGCCTTGCACGTGATAGGCAAGCGCTCTGCCATTGAGCCCCAACCCCAGCCTCCTGTAGCATTATCTTTTTTTTTTTTWAAAGAATTTTAATATTTATTTTTTAGTTCTCGGCRGACACAACATCTTTGTTGGTATGTGGTGCTGAGGATCGAACCCGGGCCGCACGCATGCCAGGCGAGCACGCTACCGCTTGAGCCACATCCCCAGCCCCACTGTAGCATTATCTTAAAGATTGTCTTTAACCAAAGATCTCTCCAGAATAATATACCATCATTTGTTCATGAAATATTTTACATACAACTTCAGAAAGTTATAGAATTCAGATTGTTCTGGAAAGATTATCAGACAAATCCATATTTACTTATTTCAGAGGAGTACATATGCTTCCTGCCCTTTTTCTAATTCAGCTCCAAAAAAACCAGAGAATTGTCAAATACATCTCTGAAAAAAGAATGCTCTGAACTCCCTCAAAATTTCCTTGAGAGTGTATACAAATCACTACCAACCCCAAGTGGCATTCCTAAGAAATCCCAACTGCTCAGGGGGACTAGTAGTCACTGGTTCCAAATATCACCTACCCTGGCAGCATCAGCTGCTGGCTGTTAGAACCATGAGTGGTTCTGTGTATACCCCCACTGGGCTGGGATGCACTCTGGCTAGTGTTTACACTAAACTCCCATGTAATCCTTTCCCCACTGTGTGCACCTGACCTCCTTCATGCACATTCACTCCACAGCTGTGATGAATCAAAGCAAGGCTGTACAAATGGGGAAGTGGGTGGGGAAGGAACATTTAAATCAATTTCAGCAGCATCTTTATTGCAACCAAGAACCTGTAATAAAATGCAACAAAACTAATATTTCACTTTACATAATTAAAAGCCATGTAGCTGAAAATGAAAAAAACCCATAAACTTACTGGAATGAGACATGCAATTCATTTCATACAAGTCAGTGCTTAAAACAGCAGGCACTTTATACTCTATAAAGAACTGAACTCCAATGTTGCTGAATATAACATAAATTTGTATTTGGGTTATGTAAAAACATAAGTACATACAAATATGACTTTTTGTCTGTGAGGGACTTTTAAAACAATTTCCTAGAGCCCAGCACCTTGTACTAAGACATCTGAGTCAATATTTTTGGCTGGAAAGTGTATAGGTAGGGTTGGGAAGGCTGGGGTAAGGGATATTTCCTTATTCCTTCATATCTGCAGGGAAAGGACACTCACATTACATATCTTAATTTACAGCCATGTCTCTTTTTATCAAATTGCTATAAGGTGGGCTTTTGGGCTTAAGCAAGGGGTCTACTCTATATCCCAATCACCAAACCCCCTACTACACCAAGGAAAACACATTTAGTGTAATAAGTTTAATTAACTTCAGAATCTCAACTACTAATCAGAAGTATTGCTTCATTAATAAGCATGCTTAGCATTTACTTTAGAATGGAAAATTTAACCATTTTATGTGGTTTACTTTTAAAATGTTTTATAGGAACATATTAATAAATACATCTTTAAAAATCTGCCTTTTCTATATATCATTTAACTACCATGAGGCAGGATATCTAGATGGAATTTAGTACCAACCAAATACTAACTGTCTGTGTGGCTTCCTCTCTGTAGTATGTAGGTTCCTCCTCTAACGAATGAGAATAATAAGTTAATCCAAGATTTACTCCATCTTGAAAACTTATGATTCTATAATAATGAAATCTTACTGGAATCATTCCACCTAGAGAGAATCGTGTTGTAGAAAGGTGGGATACACCTTCTGTAAGGAATAAAACAAGTAGGAAAAAAAAGAGCAAGCATCATTATCTATATTTCATTATTTTAAAAGGTAATGCATGTATTGTGATGTTATATTCTTGTGTGAGCCTTTGAAAAAGAGCCAGGAATGAATGGCATTGAGGGAAAAACCTTCATTCCAAAATGAACCTCTAGACAAAAGGGATACAAAGTTAATTTCTTCTGTTTTCAGAATGAAAAGGAACCAACAGTTATCACACATGAGCAGCTTTCCTGATTATTGTTTTAAGTTCTTATGAGTCAGTCCAGTATAAAAATTCCCTATAATTTTCTCAATCCAATCCCACTCTTAAAATAGTCCAGAGTGATTTGATTTAGCATCACCTAGAAAGCTTGCTAGAAATGCACATTCCTGATCTCCACCCAAATCAATGGAATACAAATTTCTTAGGAGTCAGGCTCAAGAATGCATTTCTTTCAGTAAGCACCCCACATGAATCTTTGATTTTGAGTTATAATGTTCTGCAAAGTTCAAGCAACTGCATTAGGTGATTGCTATTCATTTATCAAGCCTACAAAAACCTACGTTGGTGTTTAACCTGATGCTTTTAAGCTCTTACAAAACTACTTTTTTGTTACTTATATTCTATAACTATTGTTACCCATAGTCAGGGTAAGAGAAATTTACTATGTTTTCTATACAGGTTGTAAAAACAAATTCAGCCAGGTATTTTCTCCCCCTAGAGAAGCAGAATGGCATTTAAGTAACTGGGAGCTATAAAAGGAACATTCCTGGTGATAAGAGGAAAAAAGGCAAAATGGAAAAGGAAAACACCTGTGAATTCAAGAACATATGAGGTTTTATAAGGTTTGTTTGTTTTGGTAAAATAAAGTTGTTTCTTCAATATAGCATCTCTTAATGGGAAAGAGGTTTCAAATGAGTAGCTTTCTAAAAAGCTATTTTATGCCATTTCTACTTTGCATATAAGGATAGATCCTCAGAGGTCAACTAGTCCAAAAAATACCATCTTCCAACAGTCAGATATATACTTAAGTCATGAGGGAAAATACTTTCTTGGGGAATAAAAGTTACCCAAATCAATTTAATTTAACACTGAAAAAATATTAACAAATCTTGGCATGAGAAAACATTATAAACATTAAAATCAATACAGACACAGATAATAAAGAAAAGTATGAAATCTATTATACAGAATAAATACACAACCAGCAAAACCCAATCCCCCTTCTCCAAGGTCAGAACCACCAGGTCACCCTGCCATTTCAGCGTCTCCTCTGCCTCTCACCTGGCCCTCAATCAAGTCCACCTTTGGTGCACAGCCATGGTCCTCACTAAGGCAGGCTGTACCCCCTGTAGAATTAATGTATATTATGTACCCCCTGTAGAATTAATGTATACTATCTGTAGTGGTGAGAAAGAAATAGATAAATTTTTCTTGGAGTGATTTAAAAGTACTAGTAATAACTTTTTAAATACTGAAGCTTGTGATAAAAAGGGTCAAACTCATAGATGCCCTTCCTGCCTCTGGTTTCAATGGGTCCCACAGTACCCGAAAACCTTATGAGGACAGATCTCAACCAGTACTTAAAAGTCTATGAGCTCCCTTCAGTCAAGTGTGAAGGCTAAACCCACAAAATGTCATGGCCTTTAAAAAAAAAAACAAAAAAACTATTCATAGGCCTTAAACTCTGAAACAAAATGCTATGGCTTGCAGGAGTTTGTTTATGGTAAAGGGGTTGTTTGGAAACCTTTTTATTTTAAGCTCACAATACCTAAATTATGTTCAATAATTTAAAGGTAAAGTTTAATCTGAAAGAATTCTAAAATTAAGAGGAAAAATAACAAAACAACAAAAAACCCTGGAATATAAAAATAACTCTAAGGAAGTTTTCCTCCCCTGAATGATGTTAGTCTGAAGCTGTGTTGACAACAGAGTGATTTCTTAATTCTGGTTTCCTAATATTCTAGTAGTTTAAATTTCACTTTCCAATTTCTGTTTAACCTACTTGTGCTTAGTTCTTAAGTAGACCCTTGCCACCTCCTCTCCCTGTCATTCTCCATTCCCTGGCTTTCCCTACACCACGTGATTCCTTCCACCTCCCTAAATTCTGGAACATATTTTTTTAAATTGTAGATGGATAGCATGCCTTTATTTTATTTGCTTATTTTTTGTAAGTGATGCTGAGGATTGAACCCAGTGCCTCACTTGTGCTAGGCAAGTGCTCTGCCACTGAGCCACAACCCAAGCCCCCTGGAACATTTTAATAGGGAAATATCACAAGGAAACTGGCACCACCAAATTTTCTGACTGCAAGGGAATGTGCACTTTTTTCTTTTCCTAAAGGAAGGAGAAAAAAAAATCTTGCCTGCAAATATTTAAGCTCTAATCATCTGATTAAAATTTTTCTGTCTATAATTATCAACATCATAAGACTAATTAAATCCATGCTATATATACAGTTATTTGCCTTTATGTGAAAGGAAAAACGTACTTTGTCATCTCATTGAAGAAAAAAGAGAATCATTTATACTAGATACAGTTTAAATTGGCTAAAAACTGGTCAGAAGCCAAAATAAGTATCTTTAGTAGGCCACTAAGTTATCTTAAAAAAATCATTAATGACTGGTTAAGTCATAGGTTTAATAGTGATTAGTTCATAACATGCTGGATACACCTCAAGCAATGAAGCATAGCTATTCAATTACATTTAAGTGCTATCAAATCCRTAACTAGTCAGAGATTCTGGAATTGAACCAAACTGATCACTAATGTCATCATATTTTAATAAACTCAGAAGTATATTGTAAAAATACACTAATTAAGTCCATGAGGTTTATAATGCTATTAAAAGTRAAAATAGGGTAATATGGATATGTGGTGCTACTGTCTTATTTCTTTCAGTATTTCTCATGGTATTGCTGGATCCCTTAGACATATGAATCATTCAATTTTGTGTGTGTACAGTTAAGGTATTAGATTRCTATCCACAGCTGTAGATGCCTACATGGCACCAAATTTACTTTGAGAAGTAGATGTTATGTGGCAGGTATAAAATGTGATGATCAATTCTGTGTTCTCTTATTGATTAAACCTCATTTGGTTAAATAGCCAGTGTATACCAGTATTCTACACAGGTCAAAATTATATCACTTTCAGAGCAGCAATATGTGATCCAAGGTTTTCTTGAAGATAGTGCAAAAGATGTAGTTCATAATGTTCTCCAGATTCAGGAACTCTTATGCTGTGTCTCTCCTGAGGATAGATCTTAACAACAAAAAGTAAAAGTATTAAAACAAAATTTAATAACACATCTCCTTGAAAACTCTGTTTTTTTTAAAACAGGATCAATAATAAAGAGCATAACAAAATAAATATATCCTATTTTAAGGSCCCTTCCTCATGAGGCAAGGTGGTGTAGCCTACAATATTACCCAGCTACTTGAGAAATCAGGCAGAAGTATTGCAAGCTTAGGTCAACCTAGTCAATGTAGCAAGACTCTATCTCAAAATAAAAAAATAAGAGGGCTGGGCATGTAGCTGAGTGGTAGAGCACCCATGAATTCAATCTCTTGTACCACCAAAAAAAAAAAAAGCCCCTGTCTTGTAATTCCTATACACCTATCAGGCTTCATGAAGGATTTTCCTGTAAACCAACAGTTCATTACCCAAGTGTGGTATGCAGACTTTGAGGGGTTCTTTGAAACCCTTTTAAAGGATACATAAGATCAAAACTACTTTTAGAGGGGCTGGGGATGTGGCTCAAGCGGTAGCGCGCCCCTCTGGCATGCGCGCAGCCTGGGTTCGATCCTCAGCACCACATACAAACAAAGATGTTATGTCCACCGATAACTAAAAAATAAATATTAAAAATTCTCTCTCTCTCTCTCTCTCTCTTTCTCTCTCCCTCCCCTCACTCTCTCTTAAAAAAAAAAAACTACTTTTAGAACTATAAAAAACATTATTTGCCTTTACTGACTGTGTAGCACTGATAATACAAAAGCAATTGTGCCTTAGCATGAAATCAAAGCAATAATATTAAATTGTTCCAGAAGTCACAGTAATGTTACCACTGCACACTTGTAGTAAGAAAGAAAAAAATGTCAATTTCACTTAAATAGCAGTAAAAAAAAATTGAATTTTATAAACTGTAACCCCACAGAAGCCTTTTTAATACTCTGTAGTGATGAAATGAGAAATATACACAAAGCGTTTGTGCTACAGGATGTCTCAAAGGAAAGCACCTGTGTAACCAAGTTGCAAGTTGAACTGCTGCTTTTTAGTGGAACTCCCTGCCCCCACCCTTCTTTTTGGGCAGAGAATGACTGACCAACCATGATCATTCAGACTTTGCTATTTGGTAAACATTTGTCAAAAGTAAATGAAGTAATATGGTCACTTTGAGGACCACACTAATAGTACTTGTTTGCTAATGACACAATTTAAGCTTTTAAGGAAAATTCAAATTTTGGAAACTATGTTGCCTAAGTTGTTCTTTTTTTTTTTTTTTAAAGAGAGAGAAAGACTTTTGATTTTTTTTTTTTTAAGAGAGAGTGACAGAGGGGAGAGAGAGAGAGAGAAATTTTTTTAATATTTATTTCTTAGTTCTCGGCGGACACAACATCTTTGTTGGTATGTGGTGCTGGGGATCGAACCCGGGCCGCACGCATGCCAGACGAGCGCGCTACCGCCTGAGCCACATTCCCAGCCCGCCTAAGTTGTTCTTAAATTTGTGGGCTCAAGCAACCCTCCTGCCTCAGCCTCCTAAGTAGCTGGGACAACAGGCATGTGCCATCACACCCAGAAAGAAACACTGATAGATAAAACCCACATAAACAAAGTTTTTTGGTATATAAAGAGATCTTGAGACCAAAAAGCTTGAAAACTACTGCTATAGATAAATATATCATAGTTTAACTGGACAGAAATGTCAACTGAAATATAAAAAAGGAAAAAAGTAATGTTTTTTTTCATTTCTTATGAGCACATGATCCTCCCCCCTCCCACAGGGATTGAACCCAGGGGCACTCCAATGAGCTATATCTCAAGTCATTTTTTTTTAAAAAGAATTTCTTTTATAGTTGTAGATGGACACACCTTTATTTTGTTAATTTATTTATTTATTTTGTGGTGCTAAGGATCAAACTCAGTGCCTCACGAATTCGAGGCAAACGTTCTACCACTGAGTCCAACTTCAGTCCCTCCAGCCATTTTATTTTTTATTTTGAAACAGAATCTCACTAAGTTACTGAGGCTGGCCTAGAACTTTCAATCCTCCTGCTTCTACATCCTGAGTGGCTAGTATTATAAGCATGTGCCACCACACCCAGCTAAGCATATAGTTTTTTTTTTTTTAAAGAAATAAAAAGGAAGAATACTTTCTCTTAAAATCTATTTTTGAATAAGGGAGCAATGGAGGAGGATAACTTGCTAATTTCTGTACTAGTGACAATGTAATAATAAATTAAGATACTTATATAATCTGGGCCTAAAATCCTTTTTCAATATAAAATCAATTAGCAACTCCTCACCCTTCAAAGAGGGAAAAGTAAAGCAAAGGAGAGCAGTAAATGGATTCCCAGTCATCATTTCCATGCTGATAAACTGAAAGCAGAAATAGATACACAAGTCATGCAATCCAAGAGGCTTTTTAGCCCAACTTCAATAGCATCAATTTTATCCAATCATAGTAATAACTATGCCTATACTTTAGGTGGACACAGCTGAAAATTTGGCCTTACTCCATATTTTATTAGATTTCAAAGTAAACAACTGTTAATGACTATTGAATTTAATTTGAAAATACAGAATAACTCACCTGTAAATCATATGGTTTTCCAGCCCTCACTAAAAAACTCAGTAATATACTGGTGTGTGCAAAATGGACATTCTCATCCAAGAACCCATGTAAGAGTAGTAAACGATTTGGTCTGGAGAAATAAAAATATTAGATAAAATAGTAGAGTATTTAGGGGGAACCACTAAATTCCTTTGAACTAATCACACTTAGTCAACATTAACTTCTTTATACTACAATGTTAGAATAAACATTCGATAGTTTCAATATTAAATTTGTAATATACTAACCAGATCCCACGTTAATAGAACATTTAAAAAAATTATTCGTTTATAATTTATTAATTAGAACATATCAATAATTATAGCATGTTGCTAGAAAAACTGCTTATAAAACATATCTAAATAGACACAAAATTTTTCCCATCTTGAAACAGTTGTGTACTTAACTTCTTTCAAAATACAACTTGTAAAACAACAACAACAAACCCAAACCATGGGTGGGGTGTAGCTCAGCGGTATATCACTCGCCTAGCATGCATGAGGTCCTGAGTTCAATCCCCACAAAACAAAAACCAAACCAAACCAAAACAAAAATCAAACCCCAAAACCCAAAATACAGTATATGAACTGGTCTTTAATTTTGCTTTGAGCAATAGTCAAGCCATTCTAGTGCTCTATAAAATATTAGTCTTAGTTTTCAATATCTGAAATTTTCATTATCATTAAAGATAAGTTTTTCAAAAACAATTTAAAACTTTATAAGGGCTTGAACTTACTCAGAGGGGAATTTTTCTGCTTGCATGGCCACAGATCCTAAGTAATAGCCCTGTTCATTCTGGTCAGGGTGACCCATATAACGTTCCGTGTACCCTGTATCGTAGAAGATCCACAGAGTGACTGGGGCTCCCGCAATAGCAACCTGCATAAGACAACACTGACAGTGAACTGTGTTCCAGAAACACTAGCATGGCTAGCAGTAAGAACTTAAAATTACAAATTTACAGGCTAAAATTATCCTTAGGCTTTAACTCCACTACTAGGCATACATTCAGAAAACTGAAGTAGCTTGCCAAGGTCACAATTTGATACTCAGTGACTCAGTAAGTTTCATGTTCCACAGGCATGATGACACCAAACCCTTAACCAGGGCTAGCTGAAATACAACTGTAGGTTCCTTTATCAAGAGGGAGACTGAACTAAAGCTTATGAGTACCTCAGGATAAACTCATTCCTGTGATTGGGAAAAATAAATGCATGAGAATTGTTAATTTTATGTAGGAAAAGCAGTCTTTTTTTTTTTTTAAAGTCTCTTTTGTAGTACAAAATTTAAAACAATGAATGAACTATATTTAAGTACTAAAAACTTGCCTCATATTAAGGCTTTTCCACATGGTTCTGTATTCAAATATCTAATTACTTTCAACCCAGCACAGTGCCACATGCCACCCTAATCCCAGCTATTTGTGAGGCTGAGGCAGGAGGATTGCAAATTCAAGGTCAGCTTGGGCAATTTAGCAAGATGCTGTCTCAAACTAAAATACAATAAAAGGCTAAAGATACAGTCCTGTGATAGAGTGCCCCAGAGTTTAATCACCATCGCCACAAAAACAAAAAAAACCACCTTTTTTTCATTGTAAAATAAAATCATATTACTGCAATATTAAGAAAAAAATGCTACTTTTAATTCCTATTAACTATGTTCATCTCATTTTCTCTGGTATATTTTTTAAAGAGTTTGTTTATAGAATTGTGAGCATTTAAATATTTAATAATTCATGATTCATTCATTCAACACAGACTTTTACTTTTCCAGTGCTGGAAATTGAACCCAGAGGCTAGTGTTTGACAATTCACTGAGGACAAGCATTATATCTAGCAGCTGAGGATACAGTGGCATATAGAGCAAAGAGGTCCTTGTTGTCAGAACTTACAGTCTAACAATTAAACAAACAATTACAATCTAATATGTATGTATATGTCTTACTAATCATTAGTGCCTACTATAATTTTTGGGATATGTCCATTATAGTCAAAAACTCACTACAAAGTTGACAAGAGTCTAAGAAAAATTATGCTAACAACTGAGGTACTGACTTCATATGGTCATTTAATACACAGACCATAACATTCCATAATATTGTTAACTCTAAACCTTCAGAAAATAAGCATTTTCACATATCTTCAATTTACAAAAAAACTTTATTACACAGTACCCTTATTTAAAAAATGAGTACAATAGGAAATCACTTACCCTGAAGATATCTGATCTCTGCATTAATGCCATCAGGGAGAGGTATCCTCCATAAGACCACCCATGGATGCCCACACGGTCTAAGTCAATGAAATCATATTGAGAGGCTAGATACTGGAGTCCTTCTACTTGATCATCAATTTCTATTTGACCCTGTCAAAAAAAAGGAGAGTATTTCACTGATTCTGATGCATAAAAATTTCATTTATAAGAGTGATTTTTAAGCTAATAAACTTTTTTACTAAAATATTTATTTTTCAGATTAGAATTCATTAATAACTGAGATTCTATTTCCCATCCCCATTTTTTTTTTCAAAAATCTACTTGGAAATAGGTATCTACAGTTCTATTATTAGTCTGTCCTAGAATTTAGTTATCACTTAGTTAAAAAATTCTTTCCTATGGCTGCAAAAACTGTCTCTTGCTTTTGGGTATTTCCCATTTACATTTGTTCTGTTGTCTGCTAAGAGGTCAGCATCTTCCTTGTAACAAGCCTTTCCTATACCCATAGACAAAAAATTAGCCCCCGTAAGAGGAATTAATTTTACTTCTTCTTTTAATACTTAGTGTAATAAAGCAGAGGGAATCACTCTTGAGGTCCTAACCTTCCTATTTTCCCATCATGTCACTAGGAACTGAACATACTATTTGTTTCTTTAAAGCTCTATTAAGTCCTAGTTCTTACCACTACCACCCTATCTATATTACTTGGCCTGCCAGTGCATACAATCTCACTTTACTGAGCCAAAAACTAAAATAAAAACAAAACAAAACAAAACTTACATGAGAATATAACATAAGGTCAAAGAACTGGCTGTGGGAGAAAATCCCCATGTCTTATTCAGCATGTCCAATACACTGGCAAACACAGTAACTGCCTTACTGTGCAAAAGGAACATCGGATTCTCATCATTTCCCATAGCAGCAGAAAGGACATGGGGCATCTCTAAAAGGTAGCATTTAAAGCTTCCTGTAGAGAGAAAGAGGCTTGTCACAAGGAAGGACTAACCAGTTGGTTTCCCTCTTCACAGAGGACAGAACAAATCTCAAATATTCCTCAATAGCATAAAGGATGCCGAAAACTAAAACGGTGCTGCCATCTGGCTAAGGTGGAAAGGGAGGATATTTCTACATAAACGTGGCTCTCTCTCAGCTCTTCACAGATATACATAGGTAGACAAGAGCTAGCCTAGGACACAAATTGCATCTTCCCTCCCACCCCTGAACACATACACACACACACACCCCTTCCTAATTGCAGATTTCACATTAAACAATGCACCAAAAAAAAAATTTTTTTTAAAGAAAAGTTTTTGTGTTCACACACCATTTTATATTTAAAGGCACCTTCAAATTTAAGCCCTCGGTGACAGGATCCTCTGTTGTCGATCACCACAACCACATAACCCAGAGAAGCGAGGGTATTCAATCGGAAATACTTGACTCCTTTAAAGCGATTATTTACCAACTGCACCTGAAGAAGAAATACAACTTTAATGAAATTTATTATATGGTAACATACAAACCATAAGAGAATCAGAGCACTGCAAAAAAGCAGAAAGCTTAAGAATTTATTATTCTTTTGCCTTTAAAATGTAATTTTTAAGTGATTTGTTTATTTGGTACTGGGAATTTAACCCAGGAGTGCTGTACCACTGAGCTGTCTTCTCAGCACTTTTTATTTTGGACAGGGTCTCACCAAAGTTGCTTAGGGTCTCTCTAAGTTGATGAGGTTGGCCTTGAACTTGGAATCCTCCTGTCTCAGCCTCCTGAGTTGCTGGGATTATAGGCATGTGCTAATATGCCTGGCTAAGTGATTTATTTATTTCAAAATTAACTAGTCTCTTCATGTTTATGTTGCTTCTTGCTTAATTTCACATTCAAGTTTCAGGGAAATTACTGCACAATTATAGATCTTAATTATTTATTAGATAAGAAGATTAACCCACCCCACAGAAAAAGCTACTAAACTGTCTACTCTGAAGAAGAATTGTGTCATTCAAATAACAGTCGCAGGATAAATAAGATCATCTTCCCTTCTCAGTTGTCATCATTGACTAGCAATGGGAAAATGTAGCATTTTAAAGGGACACTGTGACAAGTCCTGTTTCCTTTCTCCTGTGTGTAAAAAGTAGGATAATTCTGTGACCCCCTCCAATCTCACACTGGCCATGGAACCAGGGCCTCGTGCATGCTAGGTAAGTGTTTTAATATTGAGCCACATTTCCAGTCCTTTTTTATTTTCAGACGAAGTCTCACTAAGTTTCCCAGGTTGGCTTTAAACTCCTGGGCTCAAGTGATACTCTGCCTCAACCCCCCAAGTAACTGGTACTATAGGTATGTGCCACCATGCCCAGCTGAGTAGGATAATTCTGCAATCACTTTATCACCATACAGACTATACTTCAAAATGACTAGGAAGTTAAATATATCTTAGTGTTTTATTAACAAAACATCAAGTGAAAAGAAAAATTATTCATCCATGACTAGCATAAAGACGTTTTCATCAGTGACAGTCTGCATATCTGACGGTGGTCCCAGAAGATTATAATGGAGCTAAAAAATTCCAAACACCTAGTGACATCATAGCTGGCACAACACAATTCCTCAATCATGTGTCTGTAGTAATGCTGGCATAAATAAACCTATACTGCCAACATTACTTAAATATAGCAAAATTAGGTACCTTATATCATKTTTGATAATTATAATAAATAACTATGTTATTGGTATATGTATTTAACTATACTATACTTTTCATAATTTTTTAAAACATTTTTTAGTTGTAGGTGGACATAATACCTTTATTTTATTTTTATGTGGTGCTCAGGATTCAATCTATGTCTCACACATGGTGAGTGCTTTACCTCTGAGCCACAACCCCAGCCCCTTTTCATCACTATTTTAGAGTGTTTTCCTACTTATTAAATTTAGGGTTGGGGTATAGCTCAATGGTAGAGAGAGTGCTTGGCATGCATGAAGTCCTGATTTTAATTCTAAGCACCAATGAAAAGTTTTTTATTTTTGTTTTAAGTTTACTATAAAACAGTACATCTTGTGTGTGCTGAATCTCTTGATTTCATCAAGATGCTACCATGAGCCAGGCACAGTAGTATACACATGAAATCCCAGCTACCTAGGAGGGCTGAGGTAGGAAGATGAAAGTTTGAGGCTAGCCTGGGCAATTTAGCAAGATCCTGTCTCAAGATAAAATTAAGGAAAAAAAGGGGCAGGGGACTACAGATGTGGCTCAGTGTTTACCTAGCATGTGCAAGGTCAATCCCTAAAAACACACAGGCATACACACACACATGAACACACACACAAGTAGCCACTTTGAGTGATTGACATATACCATCTATGTTTGTGTAAGCAAACTCTATGATGTTTGCACAACAATGAAATCACTTAGTGACATTTCTCAGAAAGTCTCCTGGTCATAAAGAAACACATTACAATAATTAGTGATGGCAGACACTAAGTAATAAACAAAAAGAAGTTCAGATAAAAATTAGAAAGATGTCAGGTGTGGTGTTGCACACCTATAATCCCAAACTGAGGTAGGACTGCTTAAGCCTAGGAGTTCTGGGCTCGCCRGGGGCAACATACTAAGACTTGGTTTCACTAAAAAGAGACAGAGAGAGAGAGAGAGAAAATATTATATGTATGTATAACATATGTATTGAATTATCCCACTATACCTCATAAATATGTATAATTATTATGTGTCAGCTAATTTTTTTTTTTTTTAGAAAAATTTAAAAACTAGTTTTCTAAAGTAGCTGTGCCATTTTTCTTTCCCACTGTCAATGCATGAGGGTTCTCTACTCCTGGTCAATACTGGGTATGGTTAGTTATTTTAATTTTAGACATTCTGCAGATGTTTAGTGGTTTTTATCACTGTGGTGTTACTTTGGATTTCCTGATAATTGATGGTGCTGAGTTCTTCTCTTATATATACTTGCTGCCATACATTTGTGAAATGTCTTTGGCTATTATTATTATTTTTTGCAGTGCTGGGGATTAAACTCAAGGCCTGATGCATGCCAGGCAAGTGCTTTACCACTGAACTAAGACACATCCCCCAGCTTCTTTGACTGTTTTTTTTTTTTAATATATTTTTTTTAGTTGTAGGTGGACATGATGCTTTTATTTTTTAATTTATTTTTATGTGGTGCTGAGGATCGAACCCAGTGCCTCACCTGCACTAGGCGAGCACTCTACCCCTGAGCCACAACCCCAGCCCTTAACTGGTTTTAAAAAGTTCAGTTCTTATTTTATTGATTTCTAAAAAGTTTCTTATGTATTTTGAATATAACTGGTTTACCAGATAAAAATATCTATGTATAAGGCTCTAGGTCTTAATATAAATTTTGGATACAAAAAGTTTTGAGGGGCTGGGGATGTGGCTCAGGCGGTAGCGTGCTCGCCTGGCATGGGTGCGGCCTGGGTTCTATCCTCAGCACCACATACAAAAAGATTCTGTGTCAGCCGAAAACTAAGAAAAATAAATATTAAAATTCTCTCTCTCTTTCCCTCTCTCTCTCTGTCTCTCTCTTTAAAAAAAAAAAGTTTTGAAATTTTAATAAAATCTGATTTGTTGTTTTTTCCTCTGGCTAAAACCAAAGGTGGGAAAAGTTATCCACGAGTTAAATAAGAATAAATACTATCTTTGTGCAGTTAATAGCTGTTGTATATTTACTGGGTTAGATTGTAGTGGGAAGGAGAAAGAGAGAGTTTTCCATTCTTTTGTAGTTTTGGATGTTTAATGCCACTGCAACAACTGCCAAACTGGTTTTTCTTCTTCTGTTCTAGCTCTCTTATAGTCTGTTTGCTCATGAAGTAATAGTGATGTTTTAAAAATGTCAATGTCATATGACTACTGCCTGGTTCCTTATAATGGCTACCATTATCCTTCAGAAAAAGATCTAAACTTTTTCTTTTTTTCTTTTGGTGCTGGGGACTGAAACCAGGACCTTGCACATGCTAGACAATTGCTCTACCACTATGCTACTCTCCAAGTCCAAGATCTAAACTATATGACCTTTGAGACTTTGGCTTATTTGAGTCATGGCTATCTCTAAATTCATCTCACACCATTTTTCTTTGGTGCACTGTATCTTATTAGCTGTTCCTTATTTCCTTTGGTGCATCTTATTAGCAACCCTATCAATTTATTTCTAACCCCAGGTCCTTGATATTTATTGTTTCCTCTATCTGAAATACTTAATGATGGGAAAATGATTTAACTTAATACACGATTATCATCGTTGAGATTTTGTGGCTCATGTAATTTTTTTTCTTTTTTGGGTACCAGGGATTGAACTCAGGGGCATTTGACCACTGAGCCACATCCCCAAGTCCTATTTTGTATTTTTATTTAGAGACAGTATCTCACTGAGTTGCTTAGTGCCTCACCTTGCTGAGGCTGGCTTTGAACTCATGGTCCTCCTCAGCCTCCAGAGTTGCTGGGATTATAGGTGTGCACCACCGCACCTGGCCTCATATATTTATTTTTTAAATATTTTTTTTAGTTGTAGATTGACGTGACACCTTTAATTAATTAATTATTTATGTGGTGCTGAGGCTCGAACCCAGTCCCTCACAAACTCTAGGCAAGTGTTCTACCATTGAGCCTCGTCCCCAGCCCTCATGTAGTTGTTTTATTTTTCATGCTGCTTGGTACTTAGATATATTTCTAAATACAAAATACAAAATAAGTGGGAATAATTATAAAGGATATTAATGAATCTAAGAGTTACATGATGAAAAAAAAATAACAACCAATTCATCTATCCAAAACAGTTTACTCTGTTGGTCAACAGCATTAGCCACATGCTAATATTTAATCCAGAAAATGGAAAAATCAAGTTGTAAACTTCCTACAGTGTTAAGCAGTGGCATAGTTATTATCTTCACCAGCTAGTAAAGTATTTTAGTTTGCTTGAGAGATGTAGCCTTAGAATAAAGAGGGGAATTCAATAAGCTACCAAGAATTTCTAAATATATGACTTTTTATTTACCTATACATTTAACTGTTTAATTTCATTTCCCAAACAAGTTTCTCTACATAGAAATTAAGATATTTGGGGCTGGAGATATAGCTCAGTTGGTAAAGTGCTCTGCTCGCCTGTGTTCAATCCCTAGCAACCCCCCCACCAAAAAAAGAAATTTACCTAGTGATGTGAATATTCCACTCCCCTTAAGAGTTACATAGTCCACAATGTAAAGTAAGAAACTATTTTACAAATTAGCCAATTAAACTTGGATACCTAGCAATCTGATAATTAGAAAAAAAGTCAAGAATAGCAGAAGCCTAAGACTGCTCAAATTCTTTTTTAAAAAATATTTTTAGTTATAAGTGGACCTTTATTTTGTTTATTTAAAAAAATTTTATTTATTTATTTATATGTGGTGCTGAGAATCTAACCCAGTGCCTCACACATGCTAGGCAAGCACTCTATCACTGAGCCACAACCTCAGCCCATATTTGTTTATATTTTATGTGGCACTGAGGATCGAACCCAGTGCCTCACATGTTCTAGGCAAGCACTCCACCACTGCGCCACAACCTAGCCCTCAAATTCTTATCCTATTCTAAATAACACTAGATATTTTAAAAACAAATATCACATTAAAAAAATATATATGTATATATGTGTATATGTATGTGTATATTTATATGCCCACCTGAGGACCACCATATATGAACAGCACAGTTGGGTATTTCTTCCCAGGTTGTAGATTATGAGGCTTATATAGCATTCCATACAATGTAAATCCAGTAGTACTTTCAAAGGAGAAAATTTCTGGAGGGGTATAGTCAGGAAGAGGACCTGTGAGTAGGTAACATAGAGTCTGTAAAAGGAGTTCTTAATGGGAGCTCTATAATCTGAGAGCAAGGAAGAAAATATCAAAACCCAGACCCCACACCCCCACACTCAAATAACTGACCACCAGCTTTTAAGGTAAGRTAATAAAAAAATTAAGTAAAAATATTCATCTTGAAAAAAATAATATTGTCTTGAGCAACTAATAAAAAAAAAGAAAACATATTAAATTATCTATCTCAAAAGCAGACACACAGTATTCTGAATAATCTTTGAAGCCTAAGAAGTGTTTCCATGCAGAATTATAAAAAATACTTTGGGCTAAGTTTAGTGTAACCTATTCATGGTTAAACCATAAACCTGATTAGAAACAAGCACCTATTTCAATAAAGTTGAGGTGGGGGGAACAAGCAGCATATACCATATTTCATCGAATAATGGTCGTCATTGTATTAATGTATATTTACAAGTATTCCTTGTGCCCTAATACTGCACCAAAGMTAGTTCAGTAAAATAAATTATTTCCAGTAATACCAGTAATCTTTTTTTAAATAAAAAGTTTCTTTTTCTTTTTTTCTTTTGGAACTGGGGGTTGAACCAAGCAGTGTTTAATCATGGAGACACACCCCCAGACTTTTAAAATTTTTTGTTTTGAGACAAGGTCTCACTAAGTTGCTGATACTGGCCTTGAACTTGAAATCTTCCTGCCTCAGCAGGCTTTCTAGATCTGTTCCTGCTTGGAGTGAAAGCTAATCCACCTTATTGTGTAGTTGACAGAATAGGAGAGGTAGGAACAATCAAAAGCTTAGAAGCTCAGGGACAGAAAGGGGTGAGAGATGAGGAGACTTTGTTCAGCAAAGGTGAACATAGAACATAAATTTAGTATACTAAAGTACTAAGCCTACTTACGGTCAGATTTAGGGAAAAAAGAATACCTGCTGAATCCAAAATGGTGGCCCAGAATTCCTTTGTTTTGCAAGTAGGGTCATCTTCAGGACTTGAAAGTTTGTAAAGGGACACACAGTGTGGATTCTTCTGGTTACTATACTTACTTATAAAGAAGTCACAATGCTAGAGAAAAGAGAAATGATTATGTTTTTCCTTAAGGAAAAATCAAAAAAAGGTTATCTGCTGTTATGTCTGCACTAATGTTCTAGCAAGCGAATAGTAAGAGTATGATTATGTACCTATGTAACACTGAAGTTAAGGCTAAGTGTTTTAAAGCTTTTCCTAAGACAATGAGGCTTCTGCAGGTCAACTTCACCAGTTTTCACACCATTCAAAAGGAACATTATATGAACAGAGGGTTTTAATACAACATAGATTTATACCTGGCTGATGCAGCAAGAATGGGAATAGCCACGGTCAGTCAACCTTGTCACCTCTCCAGGATTTACATAACTGACCACATACAGGTGATGTTCTAAAGGAGTGTCTTTGGTGCCTTCAAAATATACCAGTCTTCTGACTTCATCAACCTGGATCTGCCATAATAATAATAATAACAACAACAACAAAATCAGTACTAGCATAACTCCTAGCAAAGCCAGTAAGTAGTTCAACGACCAACCTTTAATTTTATTCAGAATTATTTGGTACCTTGACTTGTGCTTCTTTTTATTTTGCTATCAATGCTAGTAAGCGAATTGGTTTTGTTTATGACTTAGAGCTAACAACAGATACTGTCCAGAAAAAAAAAGAACAACTGAGTTATACACTGTATAATTTCCTATCTGGTTACAACATGTGCTTTTCTTGAAATAAGAGAATTATTTTTTTTACAGGAGGAAAAAATACTCTAGACTGCAGCTTAGGTCAACCACTCATGTAAACTTGAAAGAAACTAAATTTACAAAAGTGTTTTATCTGGGGCTGGGGCAGTAGCTCAGTGGTAGAGTGCTTGCCTCAAACATGTGAGGCGCTGGGTTCAATTCCTCAGCACCACATAAAAATAAATAAAGACATTGTATATACCTACAACTAAAAAAAATATTTTCAAAAAATCTATAAACTGCAACTTAAAAAAAAAAGTGCTTTATCTTTAGTTTGGGGAATAAGTGAACTCAATCATGCTATCAACAGTGGTATAGTTTATAAGTTAGCACTGATAAGATCATCCCCCACCCCCACCCAGTGCTTACATATGCTAGACAAGTGCTCTACCACATAGCCATATCCCAAGCCCTGAATAAGATATTTTAAGTCATCATTCAAAATTCAAAAAAACTGCAAGTAAATTCATAGATGAATTCACTTAGTATTCTTCTCACATTACTGTAATAGTCTAAGTAGATGGCTTTCTTTTGCTGTTCATTTAAAAAATATTTTTACCAGTTTAGTGTTAAATGAAATTTTTAAAATGTTTATGTAGCAAAGACAACACAGATAAATTTCTAAGAGCAAGTATTTTTAAATGTCTCATTTTTTCCAGGAAACTACTTCTTCATTAGAYATTTTTTGGATGGCTAAATCCTTAAGTTAACACAGCTGCTATACTAAACAAATGTTCAAGAAGTTAGGACTAGTTCTGCTCTTAAAAGTCAGGCCTTTCAAAACTGAAGAAACAACCAGTCAATTCCTCAATACCATTTATAATGGTTCTTAATTTTCTTTATGTAACTACTTAGGTTCAACAGGATTCAACTCTTCTGGAGGGCTTAATGAACAAATTCCTGGGCCATGCTACCAGAGTTCCTTATTTAGGAGGTCTGGGATGGGTCCTAAAATCTGCATTTCTAACAAGTTCAAAGGTGATGTTGATATTTTAGTGCCATCTCAGGATCATACTCTGTTGAGGAAATACTTTCAAGAGTAAAAGGTGTGGGGGATGGAGTGGGGGTGCKGGGTGGGGGGTGCGCTGGGGTTGTGGCTCAGTAGTAGAGCGGCGGTCACCTAATCCGTGAGAGGCCCTGGGTTCGATCCTCAGTACCACATACAAATAAAAAGATATTGTGTCCACCTACAATTTAAAAAAAAAAAAACTAGAGTAAAAGGTGCATAATTTTAAGTCTCAAAGCTTTACTCAATTATTGCCATCAAGAATCTTTGAGTAGGAACAATATCATTTGTAAAAGCAGAGAAGAAAAAAATAAAATAAAAGCAGAGAAGGAAAAGGGTAATTAAAGACAAAACAAAACAGAATATATAAGGAAAATAGAAGAGGCAAAGAGAGAGTCACAACACACAAAAATAAGCTTGACATGAAAAAAATTGATGCACATTTTGGCCAATTACAGAGAGACGTTTAAGTTTCCCAAATAAGGATCAGAATCTGTTTATATTCAATTTGGGGGATTTCCCTCAGTATTAGCTGACGGTTCTGATCCTCCAACCAACACACTGCATAAAATTTACATTAGTGTAATTTTCTGTTATCAGAATCAAGAATTCCCAAAAGATTTTTCCCTCAGGTGACAGGAACATCCAAGCTCCCTAAACGGAGGAAAAAAAAAATATATATATATATGGATATGTAACCAGAAGGCTATATGAAGCGCTCAGTGGAATTAGATTTTAAGGGCTCTCTCTAATATTCTAAAGTTCTTACAAACAAAAACAAATATGGAAATCTGGATCTTCATTCTTTGTCCTAATCACCTTGGGGACTACAGTGAATTCTATAGTAGCAAGGATATGGAATCTATCAATTTGAGGAAATCACATTTCAGCCTTAACTAAATCCTGGAAGCATACATCAACTCAATTCTATGAGTCAGGCATATTGAAAGGACTGGAGTTTTTATAGAGCTAATAAAATTGGCCACCTAGCTGAAATCTGAAACAAATGAAAGGTACTATAAAAAGTAAAAGTTAAAAAAAATAGAATTCATTAAATTGCTACAAAAAAGCCACACATTGAAATCAAAACAGAGGATGGATTTCCCCACTCTTTTCTATCAATCCAAGCTCTATATAAATGCTGATCCTTCTTTGCAGGTGGTGGATGAAAAATAAATGTGAGATAAAATAAATGGGTGAATAAAAAAGAACTACTTACAGGAATAGTAAATACAATTTCTAATGTAGGAAGGATAGGAGTAGTCTCTAATAGATTCAAAACTATATCCTAGCTCACAGCTTTTGCTAGACCCTAAAATATGGGTTAATTCCTTATCAAGAAGCAGCAATATATTTGAAAATGATGATCTTTAGTAACCAGAACATAAGTAATACTAGGGTTATAAATTAGGTGAGAGCTATAGTTTAAACTAAGAGTCTTCCTTTCCAAAAACTTGAGTTCCTTTAGGCCTTAATATTTTCAACTAAAAATAAATAAAGACATTTCAAAACACTGGGGTCATATTAAGTTGTGTTACTGACTTTTTTCCACACAGTAGATGCTGACCAAACATATCAGTACAATAAAAGGACCTACATTAGATCCATGCCGGCCAAGAACTTCCCATTCACCACTGGTAATTGCTATTTCTTCTTTAATAGGACATTTGAAATCACCTAAAAATAAATACAGTTATAATTCAGTACTTTATACCAGCCTATAAGCAAATGAAACAACACAGAATAGTATTCTAAACTGTTTTTATTCCCCCAAAAGCTGCATTTTGTTTGGAGTAATCGGGCTGGGGTTGTGGCTCAGTGGTAGAGCACTCCTAGCATGTGTGAGGCCCTGGGTTCAATCCTCAGTACCACATAAAAATAAAGAAAATAAAGGTATTGTGTCCAATTACAACTAAAAAATATTTTTAAAAAATGTTTGGAGTAATGAAAATGTTTTAGAACTAGGTAGAGGTAGTGGTCGTATAACAGTGTCAAGTACTAAATGCCCCTGAATTGTTTATTTTAAAAGGATTAAAAAAACTACAGTTAGAAAACAAAATCCAAGTGATGGGTTTCCACAATACTCTGAAATAACAATAGAATGACCCATGTAGATAATGTGAAAATGGCAAAATAGATTCTTAGGGCAAAGTCAGAAAATAACTCAAAAGCATCTGTGCTCCTCAACCTTTGGTTACAGAGGCGTTGATGAGTTCACAAAACATTTCTTATAGAAATTCGACAAACTATAAGCCAAAGAAGAAAAAATTCAATAATTTTTCTTCATGTGCCAAAAAATAAACTGGATAAGTTTTTACCATGCTAGATGACAACATGCCCCATTTGTTTTTATGAGATTCTGTCTTGATGAGGCTCTCTCAGTGGCCTAAAGAGGTTAGAAAATGAAAATCATTTCTATTTTTCTAGCTGCTTGTATCTTGTAGGGAGTGACAGCAGAAGACTGCAAGTTTGAAGAAGAAGAAGAATTTTTCTTACAAAAATTCAATTAAGTACTTTGGACTTTATGGATAGAAAATAAAACATTATTTAACATAATAATAAGTACTAATAGTTTCACACTGTAGCCATTTAAGGAAGAAAGAGTAGGGAGAAAGAAAATGAAGTAGACATATAAAAAAAGGAAGAAAATTTGAACCAAGAAAGCTTAATGAAAAAAAAAGAAAGAGAAAAGCAAAGAAGAGGTAGACAAACTGAGGGACCCAAAAATTGACCATGATGGGGAACAGAGGTGTTCTAAGATAAATGTTAACTGAGATAACAGCACTTTCTATAGTCTTTAAMTGGGGTATGAAATTTTAAGTTATCATCTTATTACTGTTCCAAAAAGTATTATTTTAGTAACTTACTATTCATAGCTCTTTGGTCTTTATCATTAAATTTTCTGGAATTCCATAAGTGGATTTAATTTCTGAATAACAGAGGACCTGATAAGGGCAATTTCACACTCAGGGCTAAGCTAAGACTCTAAGGAAAGAAATTTGCCATCTTAAATATACAAGATTTTGTCTTCCTTACAGAAATTAGGCTAAGGAAATTAGCAAAGAGTAGATGGTATTTAATTTGCTATTGCTGGTCTCAGGATGCAGCTTACTACTTCCCAAACACTAAATTAAAAAACCATACTGAAAAAGGAAACCAATTAACTTAAATATTGGCAAAGAACTTGAAAAAGACATTTCTCCAGAAAAAAAAAATATATAAATGGCTGATAAGAACACTGGTAAGATATTCAACAGGGGTTGGGGTTGTGGCTCAACAGTAGAGCGCTCACCTAGCATGTGCCAAGCCCTGGGTTTGATCCTCAGCACCACATAAAAATAAATAAAATAAAGGTATTGTGTCCAACTACAACTAAAAAATAAATATTAAAAAATATTCAACAACATTAATTATTAGGGAACTAAATTCAAAATTAAGAGATACTATTTCATATCCACTAGGATGTTTAATAACAAAAACCACCCAGGAAAACAAGTATTGTAGAGGATGTAAAGAAATTAAAATCCCTGAGCAATGCTGATGGGAATGTAAAATGGTATAGGTACTATCATTGGTGTCCCAAAGGGATAACCACTATGGAAGAAAAAAGTATGGCAGCTCTTCAGAAATTCCCCTTCTTGATACATATCCCAAAGAGTTAAAAGATGAAGACCTGAAAGGTGTAGCTCAGTGGTAGAGCACTTGCCTAGCATGGGGGGAGGCCCTGGATTAGAGTCCCAGTGAAATACACATACACACACACACACACACACACACACACACAAAGAATTGAAAGCCAGGACAGGAAGAGATATTTGTACACCCACATCCATAGCAGTGTTAATCACAAAAGCCCAAAGGTAAAAGCAACCTACGTGTCCACCTCATAGATAATGGATAAATAAAATGGAATATATACATACAATGGAATATTATTAAGCCTTAAAAAAAATTCTAACACTTGCCATAACATGGATAAATCTTAAGGACCTTATGCTACACGAAATAAGCCAATCTCAAAAAGACAAATTTTGAGTCCACTTAAATGAGATTATTTAGAGGAGTTAAATTCATAAGAATAGAAAGTGGTTGCCAGGAATTAGAAGAGGAGGAAATGGGGAATTACTACTTAATGACTAGTCTGTTTAGGGAAAAAAAAAAATTCTGGAGATGGGTGGTGGTAATGATCACACAACAATGTGAATGTACTTAATGCCACTAAATTGTACCCTTAAATATGATCAAAATGGTAAATTTTATGTATATTTAACCACAATTTTCTTAAAAGACATGTCAAGTCTAAATTATGAATGGCAGTAAAACATATAACTTAACATGAAGTGCTTACTATTTTAAAACAAACTCTATTATTAAAATAGAAAACTGAGGCTGGGCATAGGTGGTACATGCCAGTAATCCCATCTACCTGGGAGGATGAGGTAGGAGGATTACAAATTCAAGTCCAGCTTGTGCAACATAGCATGAGACCCTGTTTCAAACAACAACAAAGTAGAAAACTATAACTCAGTTTTAGAAAAATCTAGGAAAAGTAACTGATATATCAATTCATTTTTTCTTGTGTTGGTTTTGCAATGATGGGGATGGAAACCAAGGCCTTTGCATGCTAGGAAAATGCTCTACCACTGAACTACCCCTAGCACCCCATTTCACTTTTTCTAGACTTACATATACATTCTGCATTACATTTCCCAGAATAACCATGACTGGTTTTTTTTTGTTGTTGTTGTTGTTGTTTGTTTTGTAGTTGTAGATGAACATGCCTTTATTTTATTTGTTTGTTGTTTTTTTAAATGCGATGCTAAGGATCAAACCCAGTACCTGACATGTGCTAGGCAAGCGCTCTGCCACTGAGCCACAGCTCCAGCTCCAAACCATGAGTTTTTTAAGATAAATTAACTTCAGTTAATAAAATATTTAATTTTACTTTAGGTAATTTAATTATGTCAATTTGAAGATCTATAATTATAAATTAACTTCAATGTAGRGGAAGAATATGAGAAACACCTAGTGTGTAAAAATAACTAATAATATATAACATTTGATTTTAAAACTAAATTTATTTTGTAGTGCTAAGGATCAAACCTAGGATCTGTCTTATGAATACTAGGGCAAGTGCCACATCTCCAGCTCCCAAATAACATTTTTTAAATGTTAAAATATAAAACTATTTTTAATATAAAAATAATATGGGTTTATTGGGGCTGGGGTTCTAGCTCAGTGGTAGAACGCTTGCCTAGCATGCGTGAGGCACTGGGTTTGTTCCTCAGCAACACATAAAAATAAATAAAAGGTATCATGGCCATCTACAACTAAAAATATTTTAGAAAAATATTCAATATGGGTTTACTTTAAGCAAACTAAAAAAGTCAAGGTGAAAGTATAAAGTAAAAATAAGTATTCCCATTAATATTAATAATTTATTTTACATTCTTTGAAAACTTTGTTCTATTTTTGCACATGCATATATTTGTATTCTAATTTAACTTAAATATTGTTAAGTGACGTAGGTACTGATGCTTATGAAAAATACAAAAGAGACATTACATGATCCTGTCTATCCCACCTTCTGTACTAACATTTATTCTTTTTTGAATAAAAAAGGATTTCTTACTTGGGGCAGGCAGCCCACCACTGGATCGCTTATATTTGCTCTCCTTTAAAATGGATGTGATTTTATATAAATGACGGAAACCAGTTTTACATTCAGAGGCAAAAATAAACTCAATTTCATCTTCGTGAGTTTGGGGAAAAACATGAAAGATGTCGTGGATCTGTAAAATGAATAGCTTAATTTACTATACACATTAATGAAAATACTACATAAATAATTCAATTAAGCTAGAGAAGGAAGAATTATTGGTAAACGTAATTAGAAAATATAAAGAACTGTCAGTGCTAGGGATATGGTATAGTTATAATAACAGGTTTTGCCTGAGCCTTTCATATTTACTTTTCTTTAGATAAAAGAGTTCATCCATCAAGAAATACATGCTTCCAAACGGAAAAAGAAAAAGAAAAAAGATATGACCAAGATCCTTTGGTTCATAAGTGCGATGATTGGGTATTCACGCTTTTATGTGAGATATGCCTCCCTCTAAACTTTATTACGACATAGGCACATTACCCATATGACATGAACTTTGAGGGGAAAAAAAATATGACCCAAAACTTCTTTCTATAATCTTTGAAACATGGTACAGTGTTTGTTTAATGATACATATCTTAACACAAAATGATGAGGGACAACATTTTTTACTTACGTTTTTCAAAGAGAAATATTCTATCAGGGAAGGAAAACAGATGTTTGTCTGTTTAGGTGAAATGCATTAAGCCTATATTCAGTTAGGAAGTAAAGTGGCTATATTTATTTTGTGTCTTATTTAAGTTTTAATGCTAAAATGAAAAATGCAAACAATTAAAACCTGGTATATTTTGGTATAGTTTACCAACTTAACAGAGAGAGACTTTTGTAGATTAAATTCTTAAAGTCCTCTCAGAAGCAAGAAGGGCTGAAGATTAAGCTGTATATTTTGATACCTAATGTATCCAGGAACAAATCCACACTGAGATGTCATTGCAATGGCATTTTTTTTTTATCTACACATTCTTCCATTCTAAAACCATCATTCCAACTGAAATATTCAAACTAAGAAAATAACATTCATAGTTCCTCTGAGCTTAAAAAAATGCATTTTGATAGTTTGCTATAAAACTTCATTTGCTTTAGCATTCTAAGGAAATATTTAGCCAAGTACAGGGAAAAAATGCATATACGTTTATCCAGATGTCTGTTGTTTCTTCATAGATAATGAGTGGTGTCACAGAATCAGGCACTGACTCGATGAGTCTCTGTCTCTCCATAGCATCATCTTCTACTGGGATAAATAATTCAGGCGAGATCAATACTATCTGTAGACGAGTTTGCGAACGATCTAGTAGGATGGACCAAGCACTATTTAAACAAATAAAGAAAAGCACCAGAAATAAAGAAGCTCTCAGAAAATGAATAATCCCTTATTCTCTTTCATGGCACCTATTGATTATTTCTATACTTACATTKAAAGAACTGCTTTATTACATCATAAGTTATTAAATTATTACTTATAAATAGCTAATTAAAAATACTCCATAGTTATTTTCAAAAGTTAAGTATGAGGGCTAAGCATATATATGGCTTAGAGGTAGAACATTTGCCTAGCATGCATGAGGCCCTGGGTTCAATCCCCAGCACAAGAAAAAAAAAAAAGTTTGAATAGAGTTTTAAAAGTGGTTTTCTTTCAATTTCCAAAATCATTATTGGCCTTTGAAACTGTTTTTGCCCTTTAGTGCCTACAAATGCCAGTCTCATAAAAATCCTGTTGTCTACATAAGACATAAGAACTGTACGGAATTATTCTCATAAGGCTCTATAAATATTTCTGCCAAAATTATACGATTAAAAAATACTTATTTGGGCTGGGGTTGTGGCTCAGCGGTAGAGCACTCGCCTAGCACATGCGATGCCCTGGGTTCGACCCTCAGCACCATATAAAATAGGTGGATAGAGGTATTGTGTCCAACTACAACTAAAAACTAAAAATTAAAAAAAATATTTATTTATGTGTGAGCCTTGAAGTCAGACAATTCAACCAAAAATAACACTGTAAACCATTAATAGCTAAGTAAGAGAATTAAAATGCAATACACTTATGCTTCTTGGATTATAAATCTGCCAGTTCCCTTAGTTCAGGAAAAATTCCTTGTGCAGAAATAACTATACTGCAAATTTACATGTGAAGGCAGCTCCCATTTCTAAAACTCTGGATCCTAAATTAGTTGTAAAGAGGTGACAATTTAACATACGCACTATTTTCCCTCAGGAGTCCATCCAGCTCTGGCAATATATTCAACTCCTTCAAAGAGAATCTCAAAAGGTTGAATTAGTTCTTTATCTATGACATCTGTAATCTATTAAAAAAGAAAAAAGGAATGTCATTATAGAAGGTTTAGAAAAATAATTAAGCTCACTAGTCTACTTAAATCATCATCTGTAACACCAGACTTCTTTTTGAGATGTAGGTATTTAAAACAGAACAAAGAATGCAGGAAAAAACAGCAATAAGTGGTGAGTTACTTTTACTGGTGCTTTTTATGCCTAAGAAAGTTCTAAACACAAGAATTAGCACAATCTAAAATCTTTTCCTTTAAATTTATACTAGAAGAAAGAACTCTTGATAATAAATTATATAATCAAGTTTTAATTCTAGAATCTAAGAAAAATAATAATCCTCAGATCCCTATATTTTAGTTTAAAATATATTTGTGTAATATATGTTTGAAATGCCCTGTACAAGCAATGTTTTTTTTTTCCWTTAAAGGTCTAGCAAACAAAATTTAAAAAATAAATACATGCTCTAAAACGGGCAAAAGATCTGAATAGATAGTCCTCCAAAGAAGATATATAAGTGGCTAAGAAACATAGGAAAAAATGTTCAACTTCATTAGCCATAAAGGAAATGTAAAGCAAAATCAACATGAGCTATCACTTCAAACCCACCAGGATGGCTATTATAGATAAGATGGATAATAACAAGTGTTGATGATGATGTGGAGAAATTGGAAACCTCATACAATGCTAGTGGGAAAATAAATAGCGCATGCGGCTACTTTAGAAATCAGTTTAGCACTTTCAAAAAAGATTAAACATAGAGTTAACATATGACTTAACAGTTTTACTCCAAAGGATATACCCTAGAGAAATGAAAACATAAATCCACACAAAAGCTTATATATGCATATTCAGGCAATTTTATTCTTAACAGCAAATAAGTATAAACAACACAAATATCCATGAACTGATGAATGGATAAATAAAATGAGGTGTTTCATACAATGAAACATTACTTAGCAATAAAAGAAATGAAGTAYTCAAGCTGGGGATGCAGTTCAGTGGTAGAGTGGTGCCATGCACGAGACCTTAGATTTAAACCCCAGTATCACCAAAAAAAGGAGAAATAAGTACTAGAACATGGTGCATCTTGAAAACATTAATTTAAAAGCAGCCAGACAATGTATTATATGATTTTATTTATATGAAATTCCAGAATAGAACATAATCTAGAGCGATAGAAAGCCGATCAGTGGTTATTTAGGGTTAGTGATATGGGGAGGTTGGGTGAATGATGGCTAAGAGGTGTTGGGTTTCTTTTTGAAGTGACGACAATGTTCTAAAATTGACTGGTTGCCCAACTCTATGAATGTACTAAAAGCCAATGAATTTTAAATTTTAAATGAGTGAATCGTATTGTATGTGAATTGTATCTCAGAAAAGTTATGTAAAAAACGTCTAGCAGAGAGGACTGCTTTTTAACTTGTGAGCATGCAGTTCATAAATCTGACTGACCACATAGAAACTAGCAGTACAAGAGAAATGTAGGATATTTAACCCTCCATAGATATTTACCCAACACAGAAGGTAAATCACTAGTTTTTTTTTCTTTTTAAAAACTGTTTTTAGTTGTACATAATAGTAAAATCCCTATTGACATAGACAAACATGGAATATATTCTAATTCAGACCCCAGTACCTCTCCTTCCCCTTCCCTTTTCCCATCCCAATTCCTTCCCTCTACTGATCTTTCTGCCATTTACCCATAGTTATTTTTTTTTAATTAATTTCTTGTACACAATGGTGAGATTCACTGTGGTATACTTATATATGTACATTGGAAAGTTATGTCAGATTCATTCCACTGTCTTTCCTTTTCCTATACACCTAAAATATTTTCTTGATCTCAAGAATATCAAAGACTATTATAGCAGGGTTTTAAAAATATATTTTAATTGCATGAATCATTTGCTGCCCTGTTCTTTCCTTCATGTTCCATTCAGAGAACTAGGCTCTTTGTATTAGGCACTTTTCAGGGTAGAGAACTACATACATAGTATAAAGTCAATAATGAGTTGCTCTTCTGCAAATGTGGAAGTCCTTTGAAAAGATAATGTAAGGGAATTCTAGTACAGACCGGCCTGATGAACATACAATGCAAATGCCCTCAACAGAATATAAGAAAACTGAATCCAATATCACATTCAAAAGATCATTTACCACGACTAAGTGAGATTTAACCCTGGGATGCAAAGATGGTTTGAAATATAATAATCAATTAATGTGACACACCATATTAAGAGAATGAACAAAAAAGAGCACATGATCATCTCAACAGCCTAGAAAGATATTTAATAAAATTCAACACCCTTTCATGAAGAAAACAAATTAGATATGGAAATAATTTATATCCATATAATAAAGTTCATGTATGAAATAAAATTTTATTCTAATTTGTTATATATGACACCAGAATGCATTACAATTCATATTACACATAAAGAGCACAATTTTCATGGTTGTCTACAAAGTATATTCACACCATTCATGTCTTCATACATGTACTTAGGGTAATGATGTCCCCCCTCTCATTCTACCATCTTTTTTACTTCCTTGCCCCCTCCCTTCCCCTCCCTCCCCTTTGCCATATCTAAAATTTGTCTAATCTTCCCATGCTCCCCCTCCCAACCCCACTATGAATCAGAAAACATGGAACACTTCAAGAATTTGCGTGTTATCCTTGCACAGGGGCCATGCTAATCTTCTCTGTATTGTTCCCATTTTACTATATGTGCTGCCAAAGCAAGCACTAAATCACTAATTTTAACATTCAAGAATTAATAAAGGCAAAGAAGAAAAACTATTGGAAAGGAGTGGCAAACATGGATATCCCTATATTCATATCTTGGGAATCAGCAGTAAGTTTGGAAGTAGAAAATTTTTGGTCAACCTAAAAATCATGATCCATAGATATCTTGGCAAGTCCAAATCCAAAAAATAAAAAATAAAAAAAAAAGTTATCAAAGGCCCTTACTAGATTGATTAGATTAGTTAGAGGGCACAGAAGTCAACTCAACATTTAATACTTACCCTTCCTTCAGCATCAACCATTATTTCCGACATCTTAAAAGTGACTTTTGGATTTGCTGTGCCTTTAGAAAGAGACATAAGTGAGTAGTAATGTATATCTAAAATTACTTGCACTAATTGAGCTAGATCAATCCTCTTTATACTTTGGTAATACTGAAGCTGGTAATACTGAAGATAGCCACAGCTTTTTTTTTTTTTTTTTTTTTTTTTTTGTGGTGCTGGGGATTGAACCCAGGGCCTTGTGTATGAGACAAGCACTCTACCAACTGAGCTATATTCCCAGCCCAAGAGTCAGAGCTTTATTACACAGGAATCTCAGGAGGAAATGAATGAATACAAAGGCCATCTTAAATTCAAACTTTTAAATATGGATATTTAAAAAAAAGAGGCTAAAAAACCCTGAAGGATCAGTATGAAATAAAAGGAAATTCTGTACCATTTTAAAAAATGAAAGCTGTGAACAGTAAAATAGACAAAAAATTACTAATTTATTAAGAACAGAATTACTAAAAAAACTTTTTGGCAGAAGATACTTACTTTCTTTTTTTTTTGAAGGTATTGGGGATTGAACCTAGGGCTTTGTACATTCTAGACAAGTGATCACTGAGCTACATCCCCTACATCCCCGCTTTTTTATTTTTTGACACAGGGTTTCACTATATTGCCCATGTTGGCCTCAAACTCGCAATTCTCCTGTCTTAGCCTCCCAAGTAACTGGGATTACAGATACGTGCCACCACGTTCAACCACCTCCTTATTTGTTTCTTGAAGTAAACAGTGTTGTAGACATCTCCACTTTGAAAATAATTTTTTTAAACATTTATTTTTTAGATGTAAATGGACACAACACAATGCCTTTATTTTTATGTGGTGCTGAGGATTGAACCTGGGTCCCRCCCGTGCTAGGTGAGCGCTCTACCGCTGAGCCACAATCCCAGCCCTGAAAATAATTTTTAAAATCTATTTTAGTGACAACACACTATCCTTATTAAGGTTGTAAATAACCAATGCTGACTACACCTTAGAATGACTACAGGAGGAAATCTTATTTGGAAGGGGGAAATGAATGAATACAAAGGCCAATGGAACACAATACCTGTTTTAGGATAACGAAATGAATCTGCTCTCCTTGTTTCCAACAAAGGGGATGTAACATGAATAATTTCCACTTCTGATTCATCATTTTCTTCATATAGAATTCTAAGAATTTTACCGCCATTAGGAGCTTAAAAGGAATTTAGATATTGTAAATTTAGAAGAATTACTCCAGAAAATAATCATAACTAACTATTCCCTCTAGTATTAGATTTCTTTTTTTTTTTTAAAGAGAGAGTGAGAGAGGAGAGAGAGAATTTTTAATATTTATTTTTTAGTTCTCGGCGGACACAACATCTTTGTTGGTATGTGGTGCTGAGGATCGAACCCGGGCTGCACGCATGCCAGGCAAGCGCGCTACCGCTTGAGCCAAATCCCCAGCCCAGATTTCTTTTTTTTTAAAATATTTATTTTTTAGGTGTAGATGGACACAACACAATGTCTTTATTTTTTATGTGGTGCTGAGGATTAAACCTGGGTCCCACCTGTGCTAGGTGAATGCTCTACCGCTGAGCCACAATCCCAGCCTCACTAGTATTAGATTTCTGATAATGAAAAATAATTTGTGTACAAAATATGCTATTTATTTATTTATTTATTTATTTAGTGGTGTGGGGGATTGAACTCAGGGCCTCACACATGCTAGGCAAGTGCTCTGCCACTTAGCCACACCCTCAGCCCACAATGCCTTTTACATATAAAAATATAACTTGTCTTTGTAATAGCAAAGGGAGTTACTGCTTACTCCTATTACTTTTTACCAGTTCTTTTGGGGAAAAAAACTGAAGATGATACATACATATTTTTTAAACAGGGGAAAACATTATTTTTTAAAATTTTCTTTATTTTTTTTTAGTTGTAGATGGACACAATACCTTTATTTTATTTATTTATTTTTATGTGGTGCTGAGGATTGAATCCAGTGTCTCCCACATACTAGGCAATGTCTCTATCACTGAGCTACAACTCCAGCCCCAGGGGAAGACATTTTTGAAGGGCTGTGTCTTTGCATACTTTAAAATGCATTCTTTGTTAAAAAGGGAATTATTTAATTTATAATATTTCCTACAAAGTGTTATTTAAATAGAATCCAGTTATTTTGAATCATTTACTTATATAAAAATCTGATCTAATAAAATATAATTATGGCAAAATATTTTATACCTTAAAATTAAATATAAATATTTTAAAATGAATATTTGTCCCTTGGATGTGTGGGCCATAAAAGGTATTAATGGATAATAACCAACGTTTTAAAAACCAACACAGGAAAGGATAACAGTATCAGAATGCACTGCATATAAGGATAAATATTGCTTCATAAAATTTGTTTTATCTATAAAGTATATGTAAAATTATTAGATCATGATTATAACCAAATTTCTAACTGGATCATGTCAAAAAGTTGTAAGCTATTACTTTAGAGAGTTGTTTTGCAGGCAATGAAATACTTGCACAGTCATCCACTGGTTTGGTTATCTGTTCATGCAAACTCTTGTCAATCACGCTTTTCAGTTGGCCTTGAACTTGTAAAAACCCTGGCTCAGCCCCCTGAGTTGCTGGGATTATAGATGTATGCCACTGTGCGTGGCTCTAATCATACACAGAAACTCATTAAGGARTGGTCTTTTAAATTTTGCTATAATATTGCCAAAATTACCAAAAACAGCTTGTAGGTGAAAAATTTGGCAAAGAAAATCAAGAACTTGAGGTACTAAACTATAATACTGTTGTTTTCAGTAGAATTCATTATGGTGAGACATAGAGTCTATGTATTTATTCTACATAACCAGTATCTAATCATTATTACTTTAGTATCTATTATCTGATATTCAGAATCTGTATACTTAACCAATTGACAGGTGAATCTTTTAATATTCAATTGACCTATAATACATTATTTTGAACTTCCTTACTTGTTTCAGCTTCTGGACACCACCAATAGCCAGAATATCTATCAAATTCTTCTTGAAGAACAAAGGTAGCAACTCCAGCTGATCTGGGATCCTCTTCCATGTTAGCTAACTCTAGACAAACATAAAAAACAAAATCACAAAAAGCTATTTTTTCATAGTACAAAGAAAACAATATAATTCGGTTTATTTTGAAAGGTAGCTGAATGGAGTGATGAACTCTAGAACCAAATGGATTGATTCAAGTTTGAGCTCCAAGGTTTACCTATTGTCTAACATTAGGCAAATGGATCTCATTCCACTGCAGTATTCCATTTGCAAATGGGACTTTATTATGTTGTTATGAGGCTTAGATTAATTAACTTACATAAAATGCTAAGAATAAAGCCTGGACCATAGTACATGCTCCATAAGAGTTATTAATTTTCCACCAGGCACAGTGGTGCATGCCTGTAATCACAATGAATGGGGAGGTTGAGACAGGAGTATCAAAAGTTTGAGGTTAGTCTAGGCAGCTTAGTAAGACCTCATTTCAAAATAAAAAATAAAGAAGGATGGGATATGATGTGGTGTAGAGCAYCCCTGGGTTCAATCCCCAGTACTTAAAGGAAAAAAAAATTACTTTTCCATTTACTCAGAATGATGAAAAAAAGAAACTCTTCTATACAAAGAAACACATCTTTATAGACTTAGAACATTAGTGAGGCCCTAGGTTTGATCTCCAGTGAGAGACAGGCAGGCAGGCAGGCAGGCAGACAGACAGACAGACAGACACACACGCACACACACCAGTTTACTAGACTAGACTAGTTTTTTTCTTTTTTTTCTTTTTTTTTTGGTGCTGGGGATAAAACCTAGGGCCTTGTGCATGCAAGGCAAGCACTCTACCAACTGAGCCCCTTAGAATAGATCTTACAGATCACATAATTCAATCATTCCTCCCATTCAACCAGACCAGCTCAGCTTTTTCCGTTTACACTTAGGTTATTAACAAATAGTATGAAGGGAACTCTTGTTTTAAAAAAATCCTGTTGGGCCTGGGGATATAGATCAATCGTAGTACTTAGCATGTACTAGGCCCTTGGTTCAATACTTAGCACCAAAACCAACAAATAAATAAATTCACAAAATCATAATTATATTAGATTTTATGTGATACAGAAATGTTTATATACTTCATGACTGGTCTCTTTCTGAGATTCATCAATGTTGTCACATGTCACATACAGAATGAATCTGTAATTCATTCCTCTTTACTGCTAAACTGTATTCCATTTAAACTATCCCCACCTCACCCCATTCAATAGTGGGGATTGAACGTATGAGTGCTGTACCACTGAACTATATCCTATTTCTTTTTTATTCTGAGACAATGTCTTGCTAAGTTGCCCAGGTTGATCTCAAACTTTCAATCCTCTTGCTTCAGTCTCCCGGGTAGCAAGGATTACTGGTATGCACCATCATGTCTTGCTATACCATAGCAAGATTAATAATAGATTTAAAATTCATTCATCTGTTAATGTATGTTTGGGTTGCTTTTAGTTTTTGGCTATTATTAATAAAAATGCCACAGACATTCTTTTTTTTTAATATTCACTTTTTAGTTGTAGTTGGACAGAATACCTTTATTTCACTTATTTATTTTTATGTGGTGCTGAGGATTGAACCCAGGGTCTCGCACATGTGAGGTGAGCACTCTACCGCTGAGCCACAACCCCAGTCCCCCATAGACACTCTTTATAGAATATTTTTAAACATTTGTTTTAATTTCTCTTGAACAAGTAAATACCTAGGAGTGGAGTGACTGGGTACAAAGGAAAATATATGTTTAACTTGATCAGAAACTGATAGTTCTACAATGTTTGGTGTAGTCTAGGTGTGTAGTAATATCTCATTATGATTTTAATTTTCTAAACAAGTCCCCCCCCTTTTTTTTTTTGAGATACGGTCTCACTATGGGGTTGGCCAGGCTGGTCTCAAATTCCTGAGCTCAAGAGATCCTCCCAGGGGCTGGGGTCGTAGCTCAATGGTAGAGCACTTGCCTAGCATGTATCCTCAGAACCACATAAAAATAAATAAGTAAAATAAAGTTTTTTTTAAAAAAGAGATCTCCCATTTCAGTCTCTAGAGTGCTGGGACTATAGACATGTACCACTATGCCCAGCTTAGGCAAGTTTTGACTTATTTTTGCTTATCTGTATTTTCTAGATTTTCTCATATCAATGAGCAGTAGAAACCAATATTCCCTTATCTAAAAAATTTGAGTCTAGAAGCATTTGGTGTTCACAATGTGGAGGATTTTCCATATGTTGTACACCTACATGTATTATGTAACATCTCCAGTAGGGTAAGCAAATGAGCGGTAATCCAACACCCTAATATTCCTGCAGCAAACATGAATAGGCACACTAAGTAGGATTAAGATTATAAATATCCGCAGGGCAGTTCAGGTCAGGTTTTGCGATGAAGTGAGTTTTAGCCCTTAGCTAATGAAAATTAAACTGAATTTTCAGAGCTTTTTCAATTTTGGAATTAATAATAGAGCAAAGACCAGTGCTTACTTTCCTTCAATCTTTCAACTATCCCAAAATTATACCACAACCTGATTTTATATTTTGTCCTCTTTTAGATATGAGGATGGTTATTACTCATTGGTACCTCCCTATTACTTATTACAGAGACCTCAATTGTCGAGTTACGTAAGAACTGAATAAATGGTATCATCTTGTCCTCCCAATAAGAAGCTAGTTTTTATTTACTTTTCAATTCTTCTATCATATTAGGCAAAGAATAAACATGCACACGCTGACTGATTAAACTTACTTTCTGAAGTGAACTTTCACTTAGACCCTATTGCAAATAAGGAGACTGGATTGATGATGCTCCTTCCCCCTTTCTCTTTCTATCTAAACACTTGTGTCCACAGCACTTAGCACTTTACACACAGGCACAGCTCTAAACAATTCACAAATATTAACTCATTAAAGCATTATAACAATCCCATGTTGATTAGTAATTAAGATTTTTACAGATAGAGAAATTGAGAGGTTAAATAACTTCACAAGGTCACAGAATTAACAGATGGTAGATCTAGGACTCAAACTCAGGTAATCTGGTTCTCCATTATTCTATATTCTCTATCTATATTCTTAATAATACATTAGTACTAAATTGTGGTTTTTTTGTTTTGTTTTGTTTTTGGTACTGAGGATTGAACTCAGGGGCATTCAACCACTGAGCCACATCCCCAGCCCTATTTTGTATTTTATTTAGAAACAGGGTCTCCCTGAGTTTCTTAGTGCCTCACTTTTGCTGAAGCTGGCTTTGAACTCATGATTCTTCAGCCTCAGCCTCCCGAGCCTCCACAATAAGTAGTGCTAAAATTAATAAACACACCATATACTATATGTGCAGTAAAAAGATGAATAAAAAGACAAATGTAACACTCTGCAGGATTTCAATACTTTCTAATTTAAATTCTGTCAATCATCAATTCTGGTAAACAGCAATTTTGTAGAAGGAAAAACTAAAAAATGCCCTAATTTTGACTGTTATGTTAGAATTTTGTAGTCCCAACCTCAATAACAATAACTGTTACATAGTGAATACTCAATGTTAAAAGCATGAAAAAATGGCTAGGATTCTCAACACACATTTACAAGCCAGTCACCCTAATCTTTCTGCTACCAGTGGTAGCTGTTCTGATTTCCTGACTTCATAGGGAGAACCATTAAATACTAAAACCTGCACTTAAGAGTCTCCCTAGGGCAGGGGATGTGGCTCAGGCGGTAGCGCTCTTGCCTGACATGTGTGCGGCCCGGGTTCGATCCTCAGCACCACATACAAACAAAGATGTTGTGTCCGCCGAAAAAAAAAACCTAAAAAATAAAAAGTTTCCCTATTCCACTCCCCCTTCTGTCTTTTGATCTTGTATTATGTCATGTAACTTCAGTAATTTCAATAGTCAAGCTTTGGTGTCCCTGTTATAATCTTGTTTTTCTCAAGTATGACTTCCACAAAGTATCTAGAACAATTTATTTATAAAATGACTAAAACCCATACCACCCAACAGCTGAAGACCTCCACATCATGATAAAGTTCTTATCGAGATATAATCTTCCTTGTCCTGGTTCTTTTGACTGTCCTTATACTTTTGGACACCATACTGCTAACTTCTCACACAGACCACAACATCATTTGCATCTACCTTTCTTATACTGTTCCCTTTTCTGGGATGTACTGGCTAATATAAGACAGTATTTGGTATCAATTTAGGTGTCATCTTTTCTGGGACGTCTTCCCTGATGACTCTTTCTCATTGGTCCTCTATAACACCTTGTGTTTGACTCTTACTTTGCTTAATTGTCATCTGTTTATGTAGCTTCTTTGAAGAACAGGCCTATATCTTATTCAATTTCATATGCTTAGTACAGATGTACTGAAAAGAATTAGTTCAAGGATCTTCTTCAGACACCAAAATCTATGAATGTTCAAGTCTCTTCATAAAATAGCATAGTATTTGCATTTAACCTATTGTACATTCTCATGAATGTTTTAAAAAATCTCGAGATTACTTTCAATACAAGAAAAAAATAGTCTATACATATTCAATACAAACACAACCATTGTAGGCCTAACTGCATAGTACATGAATGAGACATGAGATGATCAATGATCAAATAAATACTGGAAAGAGAAAGAGAATCTATGCAATGGTGGGAGGCCATAGCAAGGTGTTCCTATACATCATTTGTGGGGATTTGGTATAGTGCTTGAAATACAAAAATTTCAAGTTTTGCTTTGAACTCTCTGGAATTCTTCTCCTAAAATTTTTCTGCTTTTTGTATCTGTGGTGCTTGGGATTGAACCTAGGGCCTCACATGTGGCAGGGAAGTGCTCTATCACTGAGCCACATCCCTAGCCTCTTCCTAAATGTTTTGATCTGCAGTTAGATGAGAAACCTATAGATAGAGAACTGGTTATACCTGCCACATTATTTGGCACATCAGAAATTAAGTAAATTTTGGTTTCTTGATTGAATGTTAAGAGGTTTTTAAAAATATTTTTTTAGATGCTGATGAACCTTTATTTTATTCATTTATTTATATGCAATGCTGAGAATCGAACCCAGTACCTCACACATGCTAGGTAAGCGCTCTACCACTGAGCCACAACCCCAGCCCTAGAAGAAATTTCTTGACTATTAATTTAGCATTCTATTAATATAAATGGCTCAGGTTTTAAGTTTCAAAAATACTTATTATCCTCATGATAAAAAAGTATCTGCTRGGACTGGGGCTGTAGCTCAGTGGCAGAATACTTGCCTTGCACGTGTGAGGCACTAGGTTCCATCCTCAGCCCCACATAAAAATAAATAAGGGGCTGAGGTGTAGCTTATCAGTAGAGTGCTTTCCTAATACATGTGAGGCATTGGGTTCAATCCTCAGCACCACAAATAAATACTAAAAAAATAAATAAAATAAAGACATGCTGACCATCTACAACTATAAAAAAATTTTTTTAAAAGTGTTTGCTGTTAACTACTGCAGGCTAAAACAATTTAGCTCAAATTCAACCCTGAGCCAGGTGCAGTGGTACACACCTGTAATCTGAGTGATTTGAGAGGCTGAGATAGGAAGATTGCAAGTTTGAAGTCAGCCTCAGCAATTTAGCAAGAACCTGACTCATAATAAAAAAATAAAAGGACTGGGAGTTTTGGCTCAGTAGTAAAGCACCCCTCCCAAATACCAAAAATAAAAATAAAAGGAATGCAGTTCAGTGATAGAGTTCCCCTGGGTTCAATCACTAGTGGGTGGGAGTAGGGGGGTGTTGGTGAACAAATCAACCTTGATTAGCAAGGTTTCCTGATCTACTACGACACACAGTGACATCATCTTCAAAATTTTTATAGGAGTTACTATTTATTTTACTTATCTGTTTTTTTTCAGTATACTTCATAACTGTATCATTCTGTTTTCCTACCTATAATATAATCTCTGTCAAATAATGTAATTAATTGTAACTAATAATTGATGATGAGGGGATGATTAAGAAAGATGGCCAGTAAATCAACTTTGTGAACATCAGAGTAAGCAAAAGTTGAACAAATTAGTTTTCAGAGTCACCACCCTTTATTATAGAGCTTAAACTTTATTTCATATATTCAAAGGAAAAGCAATATACTATTTTCCATCTTTTATTTGTAGGAAATCTTTTCTTCTTCTTTTTTTTTTTTTGGTACTAGGGATTGAACTCAGGGGCACTCGACCACTGAATCCCATCCCCAGCCCTATTTCATATTTTATTTCTAGACAGGGTCTCACTGAGTTGCTTAGCACCTTGCCATTGCTGAGACTGGCTCTGAACTTTCGATCCTCCTGTCTCAGTCTCCCAAGCCACTGAGATTATAGGCATGCACCACTGCACCCACCTGTATGAAATCTTTAGAGGAAAACATCCATATCTTTTCTGTGCTGATTGATGCTTAAAATTACTATAGTCACTTCACTACAACTTAAAAACATTTCCATAATATACAAGTTCTATAAAATTCTGATTTTGCAATTACGACAATAATAACTAAGCAGACTTTCCAAAACAGAAAGATTAATTTTAGATTATTTCTGACAGTGTGTAACTAGATTTTGTTTTTTTCCCCAAAACAAGGCTAATATTTGAGATAAAATCTCACTATGTTGCCCAGACTTGTCTCTAACTCCTGGGTTCTAGGAGTTCCTCTTGCCTCAGATTTCTAAGTGCTAGGATTACAGGCATGCTACCATTGTGCCTGGAAAAATTTTAGTTTAATGAAAACAGTTTGGGGAAAATTTTCACAGTTTTATCATGCTAAAGGAAAATCATGCCAGAGGTGCTATTGTAGTGCTGCTCTAAAATGAACTAAAATGGTGGGCACAGCGTCATATGGCTACTTGGGAGGTTAAGGCAGGAAGATTGAAAGTTCCAGATCAGTACAGGCAACTTAGCAAGACTCTGTCTCAAAATAAAACATAAAAAAGGCAGGGGGTATACCTCAGTGGCAAAGTAAGCCGGTTCAAAAGGACAAGGGAAAAAAAAAAGAGACAGAGAAAATGAATTAAAACAAGGCAGCATTATATAAGTATTATAGAATACTTACCCTCTGTATTTTTTTAAAAGCATGAATGTAACATATAAAGATCACCCCACTTGCTTCAATTTCAAAATGAAAACAAAAGCAAATTAAACTTTAAAAATACTTTTCAGGAAAGATTTGAAGAATCATGCCTTACCATTGTGAACATAGGTGAGCCTCCTTTCTTCTCTAGTTACAATGTTAGATATCCAAATATCATTGCTATGTATAAAAGCAATCCAGTCTGGATCAGCTGGGCATAATTTTGGATCCATCCGTATGTTGGGACAACTAGTTTCCACTAAATTGGGCCGTAAAGGTTGTTGCTAGACAGGTAAATAACATTTTAAGGTAGGTATCAGGTTGATATACACATATCTGTCTGTAGTACCCTTTCTATAAAATGAAAAATATTTTTAGGAAAAATTTCAACTATGGGAGTTGTTCCCCAGGGAAAAAAAAAATCTTTCAATTTCTTTAACTTATAAAGGACTCATTTTTTTTTTTATACTATGAATGAAAAAGCTAAGGGTAACAGGGAAGGTACTATATAGAAGATATAACAGCACATCATAAATTCTGTTGCTCCAACTTGTTTACTGGAGAAATTATTCTTTGTTAAATATTATTACTAAATGCTTATTTATTGAACATTTTATTAAACACTTTAAATTAATTTTAGCAATAAAAACTTTGCTCATAAAAATCTAATGAAAGCCAGCYAGGATCATCATAATTCTATCAAAAGAATAGCTCATACAGTTCATAAAGAATTTCTTAGAATAAAGCCACATAAAATCAAAATGAAAACATCTTTCAATATCTCCCTCAGTGCTTTCACAGAAAATAGGAATTGATGCCTTTTACTATTTTCCTATATAGTGAGAAGTTTGAGCATTTAAAAAATTGTATCAGTGTTACTAAAAACTTAATAGTCTTAAAATTGGGAATTAGTACTATATTTCTTGTTTTCATTGCAACTAAATTTCTTGCTGGATAAACTAAATTTTTTGGTTTTTTTTTTTTTTTTTTTAAATATTTATTTTTTAGTTCTCAGCGGACACAACATCTTTGTTGGTATGTGGTGCTGAGGATCGAACCCGGGCCGCACGCATGCCAGACGAGCGCGCTACCGCTTGAGCCACATCCCCAGCCCAGTTTATTTGTTAATTACCTTTCTGATTTGGGCATTTACCTTTAGGACCCCAAATCAGATTTAACAAGCAGTAACTACAACTTACGGTAAATCCTTGTGGCCCTCCATCTTTTACATGATAAATTCCACTACCAGCTTGAAACAGAAATGTTCCACTTCCTTGGTGATAATCATAAGAAGCAATTCCAACTGTTCCAATGCGTTTTCTTTCTCTTAATAGTTCTTCTTCTCGAGAATACATTCCATAGTCCAGTGTTGCCTAACAAAAGGAAAGTCACCTATTCCAGTCTTCTGAAAACTTGCCTTTGCTTTTTTTTTTTTTTTTTTTTTTTGTGGTGGTGGTGACTGAACCCAGGGCCTTGTGCATGCTTAAGCAAGCATTCTACCAGCTGAGCTATATCCCTAGCCCCTTGCCTTTGCTTTTAACACTGAAATCCTGGCATCTCCAATATTACTAACTCCACATTTTGTGTGACCCAAAATTTGCTGAAATTTCAAGCAGATTAATTTCAGGAAGTCTGCTGAAAGATTTCCTACTAGTAAAGGGTCATTAGTTGATTACTGTATAAAGAAAAAGAATGAAGCCCCATTATTTTGGAATTAATGACTCTCTGCAACATAACTGTAATTTAGTTAACTTAGAGTTAAGACAGACATTTAAGTCAAGTGGTTTGAATACAGGCTTTGAGTCTTCACTAGAAGTCAGACTTTGGCAAGTAGCTTAATTTTGTCAAAAGTAATTTTCCTCAATTTCAATATAATAATAAATCATTGGTATCAGCTTTTGAAGATTCATTTAAATAAAAAAWATATATATAAAGTGTTTAGCACAATGACTGGCACACAGTAAGTTCTCAAATGTCAGCTGTTATTAGTACCTTTCCATTACATATACTAGCACTCTTCTAACAAAACCCTAAATGAAGCTGGTCACATCACTAACTTAAAACCCACTGACTCTGGCTTAGCATGTGCAAGGCCCTGTGTGTAATTTTCAGCACCAAAAAAGAAACCCCCCTAAAACAAAAACTCAAGATATGATTTTTCTATTTCCTGCCCTTTGCCTCATTTTACTCCCTTTCTCAAGGGCTTTCTACTTATCCAATTTTTACTTTTACCCAAAACCTTAGCTCAATTCAACMTGAGTTCAGAAGTTATCTTTTTTCTTTTCTTTCTTTTTTTTTTTTTTGGTACTTGAGATTGAATCCAGAGAGACTTAACCAATGAACCACATCCCTAGTCCTTTTCATTTTTTATTTTGAGATAGGGACTCACTAATTTGCTTAGGGCCTCACTAAATTGCTGAGACTGGTCTTGAATTGCAATCCTCCTGCTTCAGCCTCTTGAGATACTGGAATTACAGGCGTGGCCACTGCGCCCGGCATGTTATGCTTTCTTCAAAAATTTTATAGGCATTACTATCTTTTTTACTCATTTCGATATGCTACTACCTTTCAGTTTTTCAGTATAGTTCCTAACTAGAAGAAAACAAACAAAAAAACAAGCTTGAGAGCAAAATCTGTCATTTTGTTTTTCTACCTACAACATATCTATTATAATCTCTGTTAAAGAACATATGTAATTAATTATCAGCATGATGATGAGGGGTTTTATCAAG